CTCCCCGCTCCCCCCCACACTCCCACCCCGCACCAAAGTTGTAAAACGTTCGCTTTCGACATAACAAGTTGTACATCTCATTGTTGCAATGGGTCCACCCATATCCCTATTTAAACGATTTGTTTTTCCCCTTCCCCTCCACAAATTACACCATCAAATACAGTGAAAGCAGGGTATAACTGCTTTTTTAAAAAAGATTTAAAGCCAGGTGCTGGTGGTTCATGCCTGTAATCCTAGTTACTCAGGAGGCTGAGATCTGAGGATCACAGTTTAAAACTAGCCCAGGCAGGAAAGTCCATGAGACTCTTACCTCCATTTAATCACCGAAAAACCAGAAGTGGTGCTGTGGTTCAACTGGTACAGTGCTCTCTGTGAGCTAAAGAGTTTACAGACAGTACCCAGGCCCAGAGTTCAAGCCCCATGACCAACAAAAAACAAAAACAAAAACGGTTTAGATAGTGTTTGAATCTGTAGTAGCAATGAAATTTGCATAGAAAAGTCCTTATTATCAGCATAGATACTTTTTACAAAGTACACTGATAAAACCTATTTAGAGTTTAAGCTTGGTTATTCGGATGTTGAGTAAACATTAGTTTACTAAGTCACATTTAGGACTCAAAGATAAAGCAAAATTTAAAACATTAGCAGTTTGTATTTAAAACACTGATAAATTATTATTTCTTAAGTATATTTAAATATCAAATAAAATATTTTTATATTTTATTTGGAAAGCAGAAAGGTTTCACAAAACCATGTTTGATTAATTACATGAGTCAGGGCTAATTTACCTTTAATATACACATGGACTAAAAACATTGAGGAGGAAAATGCTTTTTTAAAAATCACATTTGGATGTTTCCCCAAACCAGCATATTTAAGAGACCTTTTACCCAACTCTGCTGTTATTTTTATTACTTATCTATTAGAGCTCAAAATCAAAGCTCCAAAAGTATTTTGTGAAATATGTCCTGGTGGTTACTAAGTCATCGTGGGCACAATAATTGAAGAGAATTTTATTCAGCTAAAAATATTTATCAATGCAAATGATCCCTCTTTTCTAGCTTTCATTTTGCTTTCCATAGTTGTCTAGAAAATGTACTTGTAGGAACAAGGTTGTATTTTGTATTGTGCAGCCTGTTTCTGCAGCACATGGAAAAGTCATGGCTCCTGGGTTTAACAAGAACAAACGAAGATTTGCTGATAATCCAACACATAGTTTACACTTCTACTCTGTATGAGATTCAGCAATGTCGAAGTGCATGATACAATTCATTCATGTGGTGGACCCTACAAAGGATCTACCAAAGTTTCTCCTTGAGAAAACATATAGGGTGAGAACAGTTAAAATAGTTCTTTGCCATGTCATGCATGAGTATTAAATGCTACGTCAACCTTCACCTAATTTGCAAAGGCAATATACAATAGCCCAGCAAGACCAACCAATGACCAACCTAGAGAAACTTTGATGAAAGGGTTATTTTTCCCTAACACCCACTCACCTTATATATTTTCTCAAGGAGAAACTTTGATAGGTATTTTGTAGGGTAGACAACATGAATGAATTGTATCATGCCCTTAGACATTGCTGAATCTCATACAGAGTAGAAGTGTGAACTATGTGTTGGATTTCTTATTTTTAATCATCAGTTTTTGGCATACTTCTGCTTGACTCATTCTGCAAATGGTTCTCTCTTCTACATATCACTTCTTCCACCTTTATTATTGATAAAACACATTTAAATTTAACTCACTAAAACTGTTAAGTAAATCATTTTTAATGTCTTTTTTTCTTTACTGACAAATCCATGTTACCTTCTAAAATAGAATAGTTCTTGCATGGGGAAGATATCAAGTAAATAATAAATGGGAATTTTTCAGTAGCATTTTCCTAGCATAGCTAAGATTTGTTTAGTAGGAAAAAGAATTTCTGTCACTTTGAGACATCTCAGTTTATATTCTTAACTGGACTTATTTATTGTAATAGCAATATTAGTACTTAGTAACATTTTCTAGGTGCTACATCCTAGATCCTGTAAGTATTATTTTATATTCCTTCCTCAAGACTAAAAAAGAAGATTGAGTTTATGAGTAGAAACGGTATCATTTTCTGTACTGTGTAAATAGAATAAAAATATTTTCTTATTTCCAAACATTTACCTTACTCCTCATATATATGATATATATATATTGATTTTTTTGTCATTAATGGGGCCTGAACTCTGGGCCTGGGTGCTGTCCCTCAGCTTTTCAGCTCAAGGCTAGTGCTCTACCACTTGAGCCACAGCACCACTTCTGGCTTTTTCTGCTTATGTGGTGCTGAGGAATTGAACCCAGGGCCTCATGCATGCAAAGCAAGCACTCTACCACTGAGCCACCTGCCCAGCTCAAAATATTTTAAATGATATCTTTCAACACAGGAAAACTTTGACAAATGAGGAATGTCTTAAAATGCAAGTAACTTTTAAAATACAATTGCTTTAGGTTAATGATAGAGCTCCGTGTAAAATACTTGCCTCATAGGTAGAATACCTTGGTTTTGGGTTCAAATCCAAACAACACATGTACATATACACAAATACATACACATAGACACATACCCACACATTTACACACAGATAAAAAATGGAAATGAAGAAAGTAAAAAAAAGGAACAGAACTTGTTTGATTATAGCTGACAAATTACTCAGGATTTTATATCATTTATCATTCGGTCCTTATTACTTTAAATCACTATAGAATCACCTTACAAGATAATCTTTCATAAACATATATTTTACATTCATGCTTTTTTTTTCTTGTTGTTGGTCATGTGGTTTGAACTCAGGCCCTGGGTACTACCCTGAGTTCTTTTGATCAAGGCTACTGCTCTGTTATTATTAGCCACAGCTTCACTTCTGTTTTTCTGGTTGTTAATTAGTTAAGAGTCTCACAGGATTTCCTACCCAGTCTGGGTTTGAATAGTAATCCTCAGATTTCAGCCTCCAGAATACCTAGGATTACAGGTGTGAGAGACCAGAGCCTGGCAAATTTAAGAATGGTTACGAGGACAATCTGATTGGTTCACTGCAGTATAGCAGAATGATTTCTTTTTCTACATAGCA